CGAAGGAACTACAAGCAAGTAGTTGAGACAACCGTGGAGCTAGCTCAAAAAGCTGGCGTCTCTGAGATTGTGGGAAGGATAGTAAATGACCTCAAGGTGAGTGCCCTTACGGCCATTATTCGCATGGGGTGATCATCTAACGGTGAAAACAGGACGACTCCGAGCCTTATCGTAAGATGGTCATGGAAACCATCCAAACCGTCATTCAATCGTTAGGTGCATCTGATATCGACGAGAGATTAGAGGAACGGTTGTTGGATGGAATTATCTACGCCTTCCAGGAACAGACAACCGAAGATCAAGTCATGCTGGATGGATTTGGCGTTGTCGTGAATGCATTGGGCGTTCGTGTTAAACCATATCTGATGCAAATTGTGTCTGTGGTTCTATTCCGTCTCGGTAACAAGAGTGCCAAAGTTCGACAGCAAGCTGCCGATTTAACAACTAGGTTGGCGGTTGTCATCAAACAATGTGGAGAGATTGGCCTGCTTAACAAGGTGAGTAATAAAATCATTTATGCCAAGACTTGGCTCACCATCTTGATTAGTTGGGCGTTGTTCTTTTCGAGCAGCTCGGAGAAGAGTATCCAGATACTTTGGGCAGGTAAGCGGAGTCTTTGGTATGTATCATTGTGATACTGATCTACCTCTAGTATCATTGCCGCGGAAGGTGCAATTGCCAATGTAGTGGGTATGACTGAAATGCAGCCCCCTGTCAAGGACCTTTGTGAGTGCTGCCATTAATCTATTTTTCTGCCACCACTGACCTTACAAACAGTACCACGCATGACGCCCATCTTACGTAATCGACATGAGAAGGTGCAAGAATCCTCCATCAACTTGATCGGTCGTATTGGTGAGTATTTTACGTGACAAAAAAGCTCCAGTGTTGACCTATCACTCTTTAGCGGACCGAGGTGCCGAACATGTCCCAGCGAGAGAATGGATGCGTATCTGCTTTGAGCTGCTTGATCTATTAAAGGCTCACAAAAAAGCAATCCGCCGAGCAGCTGTCAATACATTCGGCTATATTGCAAAGGTATAGTATCTATATCTGCGTGTTGGAAATCAGATTGCTGACAATAATTAGACACTTGGTCCTCAAGACGTACTTTCTGTCTTGCTTACGAATCTGCGTGTTCAAGAGCGTCAGAGTCGTGTGTGCAGTTCTGTGGCCATCGCTATCGTGGCTGAAACTTGCGGACGTGAGTATTTCCTGTCTATTCTGGCAAAATATATCCGTACTTACCAACCGTTTCTAGCTTTCACCTGTATACCTGCAATTTTGACCGAGTATCGTACAGCTGAACTCAACGTCCGCACCGGTTGCCTAAAAGCATTAACATTCGTCTTTGAATATGTTGGACCCCAATCAGCGTATTATGCCGATTCTGTGGTAACGATGCTGGAGGATGCTCTAACAGACCGAGACCACGTCCACCGACAAACTGCAAGTGTCATTGTTAAACATCTCGCGTTAGGAGTTGCAGGACTCGGGTGTGAAGACTCTATGCTCCATTTATTGAACTTGGTGTGGCCCAACTGCTTCGAAACTTCTCCGCACGTTATTGGAGCTGTAATGGAGGCGATTGAAGCAATGAGGGTGTGCTTGGGCCCAGGTCTACTTCTGAACTATACGTTACAAGGATTGTTCCATCCGTCGCGTAAAGTACGAGAGGTATGTGATCCCTTCTTCCTACTAGGTGTTTTCTGACAACTTTGTTCAGGTTTACTGGAGAATATATAACTCCCTCTACCTCGGCGCGTCGGATGCACTAGTTCCATTCTTCCCGGATCTTGGAGAGCTCAATGATTTTGATGGAAAGGTAGTGAAGAATACCTATGAACGCTTCCCATTACAGATGTGGATTTAGAAGATAGCTTTCGGTCTAGACACTACTGTGACCTTGTAATTACCTTTGAAATGTGTATGTCGATTGATAAGTGGACTCGATGCTCTCATAGTGGCCTGTAAGCAGTCACATGTTCTTCCAGTCACTTCTCGCCTAATCTATAAATCCTGGACACCTCCACTAATCGATATCAAGCAAAATGTCAGACTATCCTTTACCTGTTGACGCTTATGGGAATTTTGATGCTACTTTTACGAATTCTGATATCCCTGGTCCTGCCGCTCTCCCGGTGTCGAACCCAACAAAAGCATTTTGGACTCACCCAGGACTGAGCACCGACTGGCCAATAAGTTCTTATCGGGAGTGGAATCACAGGCATTAGTGTCGCTGTAGAGCTGGGAAAGCTCGTCAGACAAGAGAATGTAGGAGATATTAAAGTCGTGATTCTAGAAGCTCGGGATTTTTGTAGGTCATTCACTATTCGCTCTGTATTTAACTCAATCGCTAACTGCAGGCTCTGGCGCAACTGGTACGAGGGATCATCGATGTTAAAGAGTATTAACCTTATTGAGAAACTATTTCAGGACGCAATGGAGGTCATCTCACCGCATCGACGTGTCATAACTTCACGAAATATTCTGCCCGCTACGACATTGAGGAAGTCAAGCGCTGTTTTGCTATAGAGAAACATACAGTCTCTTCTCTTCTCAACTTAATAGAAGAAGGAGGATGGGCTAAGGATGTAGATCTTATTGAGGGAGGACACAATGAACTATTGGCTTCTTCAGATGGAGTAGACGAGGGCCGGGCAGATTGGAGGAAAGCTGTAGATGCTGGAATCATTAAAGAGAATGATGTGACCTGGTTCACCCCAGAGGAGGCGAAGGATGTGAGTGTCGATTTCTGATCGGTTTGACGGCCTTACTGATATACAGATAGACTTACGGTACATGTTTCGATGTCTTTCGAGGACCTGGTCATAACTTGTGGCCTGTAAGACTCGTGACGAAAATGTTCGAGCTCGCAAGGGATGGAAAGAATGCCACGGAATCGACGCCCGGAGTCCAATCATCCCAGCAATCAAACAACTCTTCTTATTCCTCCACTATCGCTCGTATACTCAGTAATATTCTTCCATCGTCCTCGAAATCAGGAGCTGAGAATCAAGGCACAACGCGGGTCGGAGGAAAGAGTAATAACCAGGACCCGTATCGTCTAATTTTGCATACTCATACTCCAGCTCATTCTGTCAAGTCAAATGTCCAGAAATCAGGACGCAAATGGGCAGTGGAAACGAGTCGAGGGATAGTTCATACCGACACCGTAGTATACGCAACGAATGCATATGCCTCCCATCTACTTCCCCAATTAGCTGGTCCCAAAGGAATCATCCCAGTCCGCGGTCAAGTTGTAGCCGTTCGCGCTCTTGTAGGCTATATCGACGAGGGGTGGAAAGAGAAGGGTGGAGTGGTAGGGCTAACCAGGAGCGGATGGGGCGGAAACCAAGGATTCGAATATTGGTTTCCTAGGCCTAACCCCAGCCACCCTTCCGCAACGCCCACACAAAACGAGGAAGAACTACCAACTGACAATACTGGTCCAAATAAGGGAATCCAAAGACCATTGGTCATCTTGGGAGGTGCTAGGGAGACTTTGAAAGATAAAGGATATGGAATGTACGAGACCGATGATTCCAAGCTGGATGCCGAAGCCAGCGCCGGCCTCAGAAGATTCCTACACAGTGTCTTTCCGGGTCAATACTCGACTAATGACCTTGAATCTGTCTCGAAGAATATCGAGGTTGAATGGGTAATGTTACTCAAATCCGATTTGGTCATTGCGGACTGATACCTCTCAGACTGGTATTATGGGATTCACGGAATCAGGCGACCCCTTTGTACGTCGATCATCTACTTGTACTATATGACTGTGACGGCTCATTATTCTCAGGTCGGAAGAGTAAAGGATGCAAACGGAACCATAGTCCCAGGTCAATATATTTCTGCTGGCTATACCGGCCACGGTATGCCACGAGCATATGGATGGTTCGTGCTCCTTAATTATCCTCTTCTGCATGTCCTGCTTATACCCGTCCTAATTCAGTGCACAAGCTTTGGCTAGCTTGATCTGGCGAGACATCAAACAGCCTAATAAAGACTGGACAATTCCCGACTGGCTACCGCGACATTACCTGACGCAGTCTCCCGAAGAATACAAAGCAGGACAGTCTGACTAACTTGGGAGGGGCTTTCCTATCCTTTTGGTGGATGCTACTTATTACGGTTCAATGATGGCACAAGTTCAACTGTCTAGCCAACGAAATGCAGCGCTATCTCCTCTAAATCAATGCTACTCGAACTTTTCATTAGGAATCTATTGGTCTTGTCATTTCAATTCATAAAGTTACAAGGGTGACATGATTAGAATAATATACCACGCTCGACATCACGGTTCACCTTCTCACGAGGTGATCAGTTGTGCGGTGGTGGTGGCACATCTCCTGCAAGGATCTTTTTACCAAGATCCTTCTCTTCTTGATTACGAGTGAGCTAGAAACAAAGGTCAGGTACTGGGAAATGTCTAGAGGGGAACCACATACCGTTCCGTGCTGTATCTTATGGTACGCTCGGACCTGTTCCTTGAACGGCAATTTGGTTTCTACGACTTGTACAGCGGGACTACCTTGCGCATTCTCTGTATTAGAGATAGGCTGGTTGGTATCTAGTGGCATTTGGCCAGCCTGGACTCCACTCTTTGGATCATGCACGTCCATAGCCCCAGTGGGCTGGTTAGCATTGGGGTTGTAGACATGAGAAGGATCAGGGTGAGGCTGCATGAATCCATGTGTGTTTGTTGGGACATTGCTGGCATTGTGTGTTGAGGGATCTGTCATGCCACTTTGAGCAGCGTTGTAAAGCGCTTGTGGTTGTGGTTGATCAGAGATGGGATGAGGGTCCATGGGCTCTGAAATCTCCTGTTCAATACCAATTAGCTGTCGTGTCTGGGGTGGGCAGTTGAGGCCTACATACAGGTTTAGTGTTCTTTTTTCCTGGAAGATGCATTTCGAGTGTGACAAAGTAGTATCGGTGTAGAATGAGAGGTTAATAGGGGTCTGCACTTGTCCACCGTTGCTTTTATAGGTGGCATGGGAGTGATGTCAGTGCTCCAACGGATCTGCCGCATGCGTCACCAACTTCATTTGGGAGGATTCCTTGGCATATTTTACCACCTGTATCCCATTCCGAGATCTATTGAGACTTGGAGATATACAAGAGAAAGGGCTGGGGCTGGCTGGCGGAGTATTAATCTGGGTTAGGTCGTGTAGGGATAAAGTCTGCTAGCCGAACAGGAACTTCATTTAAACTCCGACCGTTTAGCAGATTGCCCTTTCCGAGTATTCGAGCCGTGGCCTTAGCTCTTCTACGTAATGAACGACCGACGGGTTGAACTCTACCTTGTTGTCGATTAGCAGTGCAATCCGACACCAGTCTGGTCATTTACCTTGTTCCCGACGGTCATTAAAATCGAGGAAATGCAATAAGATGCTATGAGCCATACTGGAAATAGCAAGGGTTCGAACTGAGTCAGTGACAGCACACGCACACGAAATTTATAGGACTCACTTGATGAACTGGACGCCTCATGTGGGGGGGTTTTTCTCGCTTCCACAACATCCTCTTCTTTTAGTGGGACGGCCTTATAATCCCCCCGTTCGTCGATACCGTTCTGGGAGAACGAGCGTTGGACCGGGGACCGTGAGGGTGGGGAAGACGACGAAGCCATTGGGGCAATGAACGAAGAATGGTTAATCCAGAATATTTACGAGCAAAGAGGCCAAGTTCTAGCTCGTACAGCGCCGAGACGTGCCCGAGAGGCGAAGGAAGAGTCGAAAAGGGGAGTGATGCTGGCAGGATGGCATGACCAATTTTCCCAGTTATGCGACATGGACTTTTCTTCAAAACTCTGAAATGCAAGCTAATGATGTATCAAAAATGATTTTACTCATTCAGCATTCTCGTTAAAATGTTCTTTTGGAGGGATACTCCTTGGAGACACTCCGGGGATCGGAATGCACATAGCGTTCTCCACACCCTTTATACTGTAGTGGCTGTGAGGCCATTGCCCGTTTCAAACGTGATCGCGATACAATGTGAGTAGACTATCGTACTTCCCATCATCATGTACACTGGTTATTTCGTACTCATCGGAGATGGGTAGGTGATTAAACCACTTTGACCTTCAACCTTGATGCCTTTTGAGAGGAGAACAACTCTGCTACAGTATTGCTTCTGGGATATCTATCTCTCGGTCAGTATAAATGATACTGAAGAGGAAGTTGTATACGATCTCGAGCCCACGCGTTACCCCTTCAAAGTACAGTTGATAGAGGACCTACCTCTGCGCATGATTGCGCAACTCGAGAAAATTCTTGGAGAAGAGTTGGTTACCCCCCATGTGCGGCATTT